GGGGGGGGGGGGAAGGGGGAAGAATTAATTGTTGAAATCTAAAATTCTTCTACATCCTTATTTAATTTTTATTTGGATAACAATTACAATTTACTGAGCTCACTGATTTCACAGAAAAAACAACAAAAATTGGGTAGCTTTTTTCTTATTTGTCACTTTTTTTGTAACAATTAAGTCAGAAAATAACTGTTTTATTTCGGAGATACCGAAGAGGTAAAAGGAAAGGAGGGAAAAAAGCAATCAAAAAATCAAATATTATCCAAAAAATTGTTGTTTTACAAATACATTAATTTACCACTTGGGAGGAGAGAAGGGAACTGAGTAATGGAGGCAGAAGAGGAGCGACAAACGTAGAAGTTGAAGAAGAACGAAAAGGTGTGAGGAAGGGAGAGAAGGGCTAAAAAGCAATGTTCAAATGAAGCGATTGTGAAAAAATTGTCGTTGATTATATTGGACCATGTTATGATGAGCAATTTTTTTTTTTGGCGACTGTTTAATACAGCTTCAATTGTAGGATTTTTAGAATAACATCATACATGTTTTGTGGCCTTCTCCTTTCTTATATATTTAATGATTCATATAATATTAGTGTATTATAATATGTTTTTGGATGTGCTGCTATTTGAAGAAGTTGTTGTTTTGGCGGTGATCGTCGTCTGCTGTACTGTTATGGTGTTACAGTTCGTTTGCGTACGTATCATTTTTAATTCTGTCAACTGAAGCTGTAGAAAACAAACTGTAATATAATTTTCAGTTTCAGATATTGCCATAACATACGATGTTATGGTGTAAAATCAAAAGCACTAAGTATTAGAAGATATAAGTGTTGTGCTTCTGCAAATAATGCGTGCAGTATTTGCATTTGCAGCATCGTTAATCGTCATTGTTAACTCACAGGGTTTGTTGTAAAAGTTGATGTTTTTGGGAAGATCTACACATACATATATTTGTTATTCGTCTAAAATAAATATGGTTGAAAGAAGTTAGAAGAAAAAAGAAATATTTTGTATTAATATACCGTTATAGAACTATTTAATCAAATGGAAAAAAAAGCATAAAAATTTTTGACTTTTCTTATGCATAGAATAAAATTGAAGAACTGGAGAATAAAGTACTTTTTTGTTTTGCTGTGTATGGTTTTCAATCATGTTTTTTTTTCTAGAGGACAATGTAGAGAGTAGATTCCCAGTTCCATCGAGAACATTAACCGGATTGGATCTTGGTCCATTATGGTTACCGAAAGACTTCAGAATAACATGCTGTTTAGGTGGGCATCCAATACCCGAAAATCCTAAGGTAAACCTACTGTTTTCATTATTTTTTTCGTTTTTTTTATCATTGTTTTATTTTCTTTTCTGAGTTTTATGATTAGGTTTATTGGACGGAATAACAAAGAAAACTTTAAGCTAATCTGCATTTTCCTGGTTGACTAGTTTAGACAATAATAAAGCATCAAATGGTGTTATAAATTTTGCAGCTGATACGTAACTGGACTCAGGTAGTGTCGGAGCAAAATGTTCAGACAGCAGCAAATAGCGATATTACTGATGTTCGTTTAGCAGAAACAAACTGTCGAGAATTTCACGGCAGTTATCTGATTTCTGTAACATCACTTTTTCAATTTAGTGGGATAAACGGGTTTAACGACGGGGTTGTCTGTAAATGTCCAGGTTATTTTTTTTTCATTACTATTTTCAATAAATTTAAAATTTTTTTTCAAATTTGAATTTGGTACACCTATCAAAATGTTATTTACTTACTTGAATTATTAATATATTTTTATGAACAATAAATTCACTCTCTGACTTGAAATAATGGAAAAATTTGAACAGATTATAATGTTGGTGATATACAGTTGTGAAATTCTGACTCACTTTTACCAAATATGTCATTGCCTTTTAATTTTTTATCCTTCTTTTACTTCGGTAGTAAAAGAAAGTAATCAAAATCCTTCCGCAAAACTTTGGTGGGAGAGAGAAAAGTGAAACGCAAGGGAGAAAAAGAGTGGGAATTTTTGTTTTTCTATTGTCAAGAATTTTTTTTTTTTTTGAAATATTAATATACGTAAATCAGATTTTATTTTTGTTGACGTCAGGAATGGGTCTTTTACAAAAAAATTTCAATATTTTGAAAGTAAATGCAGTTTTCGTCTTCTTCCTTTTCTTTTTTTGGATAACGATGGAGGAAGGTATGGAAAATGTACAGAAACTGTTTACTTGTTTCATCAACTCTGATTTAACTTTGCGTATCGCCCTTTTCGTTATTTTTTGTCAAAGAGACAGAATAGTAGTTTTTTGGTGATAGTCACGTTGTCTATGACGACTAAAATGATTATGATGATGACGACGATGATAATTCTGGTGGTGATAGTGGTGGTGGTGACGATGATAAAAGTTCAATTTTTGTTCAGCTTACAAGCACTGGAGTTGTGGAAATTGGCTTCTTTGAGCGAAAAAAATGTTTGTAAAGTCGTAGGAAAGTATTTGGGTGGCAAACAATTAGAATACGGAAAACTGGACATTTTTTTCT